TCCAAATTTAACCAAACTAGTGCCAAATGAAATATATATGTATCTAGTTTCTAAAACAGAATACTAATCTTAAAAATCATTTGTATAGAGAAAGATATGATCTTTTTACTAACAACATATCCTGTAGAAAAATGGCTGCACATATATAATGTTTAACTAGAGATTTGGGATAACAAATGAACTCCAAACTGAACCAAACTTATGTCATTTGAAAGATGTGTGAATCTAGTTTTCAAAACAAAAAACTATTTGTAAAAATAATTTTTCTAGAGAAAGATATACTTGTTTTACTAACAGATATCACGTCTGTTTTTCCTGCTCATTTTGTGGACTTGTGTTGCGCCGTTTTGAGGTGCGTTCGCGGAGTTTTGAGCCGTTTGATGTTATACGTATAGTCATGAATATGTTATGTTATACATTTAAGATTCTCAAGGGGATTATGATGAATTCTGATTTGATCATATTTGAATTAGATATCGTTCATATACATGTTGGATGTCGTTGATGAACACAGCTCAGTACTATATGGGATAGTGCGTCGACATACCAGATATACACGGTTTATACATGAGGTGAATGTCGTTGATGAGCACAGCTCAGTACTATATGGGATAGTACGTCGACATACCAGAGATACAAAGATTTACATGATGTGGATATCGTTGATGAGCTCAGTTCAGTACTACATGAGATAGTCCGTCGATATTCCACATGTACATGCCATTGAGTCGGATTTTAGGAGGCTTGATCTAGCCGTCCGTCCCGCACTAGGGTGTGATGAGGCTCGTGAGCCGTATTTCTAGGATGTCTATTTAGTAGTCCGTCCCGCACTCATGTTATGCACTGAGATCGCGATGAGACTAATGAGTCGTGTACACAGTTCAGGATACCTACAGGGTAGTCCGTTGCACTGAGACAATTACTTGATAGCCTAAGTATGACAGATGCCGATTATAAATACGACCTATCATTGAACTATATAACTGAGATACGTTACTTCAGAAAGTATATAAAATTATGTGTTGGTATTTTATTCTATCTCTCCAGTGATTGTGGAAGATATTATAAATACGATGTGTTGATATCTTATTTCTTTTACTGTTTTTTTCTTCTTAGTTGGGATCAATGATTAGAGATTCACAATTTGAGACTTATGGTATATACATGAGGGTTTCCTTGTTTAGATTATTTCGCTCGACGTACCAGTCTCGTGTTATGGATTTCTAATTGTTGGTTTCTTCATTAGATTGTCTTTTCTTAGTTCGGTATTAATGTTTAGATATCTATAATTTGAGACTTATGGTATATACATGAGGGTTTCCTTGTTTCGATTATTTCGCTCGACGTACTACGTCTCGTGTTGTAGGTTTCTAAATATTAATCCTACTTAGATACGGGAAAAATAAATCTAGGTAGACTATGCTTAATAGATAGAGCCTTCACTCTACCTAGTAGCCCTTTCCTTGGGGGCGGATGGAGGTAATCTTGCTGTAGCGCTCTGACGCTCTTGTTGTTGTTTCTTTTTCTTTTAAAAATACCCTTTCAGGTAGCTCGGAGTTCCGGAGAGCCGCAGGATGACGGAGTTCTTGCATAGTCGCCGTCCCGAGAGATTTATTAGAGGCTCCACTGTAGTTTTAAATTTTATTCAGAGTTTATTTCTAATTTGTAAAGGCAATGAGCCTTAGTTCGACTTTTCGTTTTGATTCATGTTGAGACATCGTATGTTATTGCAGACTCTAAATATATTTTAGTTTATTTTCAGTTGAGACATGACCTTATTTATGAGATATCATCCTCTTTATCATGTCTATTATTGTCGTTCTACTTCTTTGCTTGTTTCGTACCTACGTTTTTATTTGACCCCACTAGAGGATATTACTGTGATTGATGAAACTTGTTGTACAGTGTGGGTGCATGGCAGATTTGACATCTCTCGGTTTACCTTAGACTGCAGCCATGAGTGAAAACAGGGGCGTCACAGAGGACTTACCTACGTGAGAGGAACCGTGATGGCTAGGGTTAGGGGGGCTGGGCTAACCCCTAGAAACTCTCATGAGTCGGTTTATTGTGAGCATGGCCTTTAATGCTCAACCCGCTTTGCTCAATAGATGAAGCGTATTGTGTGTGTTTTTATCAATACCTGGTACATGGGGCCTAATTCAAGGCTTAGTCCATTATGTCTCTCAGGTGGCAATGAACTCACTAAGGAAAGGTTTAAAGCTGGAAGCTACCTCTCCCGAATTCATGATACGTAAGGTTGCCCAACCTATTTTCTTTTGTGATTTATTGATTTATTTATTTTTGAGTTTTTTGGGGGGGGGGGGACTGTTGGATATTTTGTTGGAGAAAAGGCAATTTTTCCTTAATGAATACTAATAAATTTTGTAATTAAAATATGCTTTAATTAGAATTTAAAATGAGCATAATAGCTATACATTATGACAAACGTTACATAATTAATTACGAGTTTTATAACGTCTTTTCCCACCCTATATATATATATCTGTATGTTGAGCTCAAAATAATAAGAAAAAATATACAACAAGTTTCTCTTGTTTTTTTTCTCCCCTACATATTATTTTCATCTACATCTTAGTTTTATTTTATGAGCAACTTCCTTCATCTGAGCTGAAGCTCTACACTCTCGCCTGAGTGCAGAGGCCGGCCGTTTCTGGGGGTTTTTACCGTTAGGGGGGAGGGAACCATCTGCGTCAGGATGATAGGCGGGTTCTCAATCTTCTAGGACAGTGAATACACGACTGCTCCCGTCAGGTCTAATTTTTTTATCTCTCATTTATTTTGATTTCGGATTTATTTCATGCTATAATCTTAATTATTTGATATATTTCCAACATCAACTAGTCATGAAAGCTAGCACAAGAACAACTTGACCACGTCCAATATTAAATATGTTGCTAAATTCTTACCAAGAAACCAATGATTATAAAAGTTGGGAGAAGTCTCTCCCACATCCTGAACCAAACAATCTAATATCATGTGAGATGACAGCCTGAACATGGCCACTCAATATTTATTCGTTCATGGGATTAAACTATGAGCGTAAGGTTGAGATTGAAGGGCATTTTGTTTCTAATCATTGATAT